TTCCCAGGCCATAGCAGAGAGCTGGATCAGAAGCGGAGCAGCTGGGACTTGAACCAGCGCCCACATGGGATGCCGGCACTGCAGGCAGTGGCTTTACCCGCTACACCACAGCGCCAGTCCCACTCCCTTAGGTTTTGAGTCTTGGGAATGACCCTCCAGCGCCCGTACAGATCTGTGGGTCTGAGGTGTATCGTGGGTGGCTGCTCTCCTGCTGATACAGCAGAACTGAGTAGCTGTGAGGCAGTGACTTAGCCTGCAAGGCCTGCAACATTCACTAGGCTGTCCTGTATCAGAAAATACACTTATACGGGGCAGGAATCGGCGTCTTTCTCACTAATGTATCTTAAGGGTCAGAACAGTACCTGATGTGCAGTAGATATTGAAGTACAGAACAGAAAGGAAAATATTAGAGTAATATAATAGAGATGAGAGGGCAAACCATTTGACGTTGTTGAAACAGAAACTCAGTGTGTCCGTAAAGAAAACATTGAGGTAAGAGAAGAAATTTCCTGACATGTGAAGAAAGAAATGTATACATTAAAGTATAATATTGTACTCAAATAAAAATTGTAACAGAATGACCAACAGCAAGACGAATCCTGGTGAATTTCTACTGTGGAGAGAAAAACTGATCATCTCACAGTGGAAAAAACTAAGTCCAGCTTCAGCCATTCATGGCAGTTTTCAGTGTCAAAAAAGAATAGAGGAGCCAGTGCTGTGGCAGGGTGGGTAAAGCTGCCGCCTGCAGTGCCAGCATCCCATATGGGTGTCAGTTCGAGTCCTGGCTGCTCCACTTCAGATCCAGCTCCCTGCGATGGCCTGGGAAAGCAGTAGAAGATGGCCCAAGTGCTTAGGTCCTGTACCCATGTTGAAGACTGGGAAGAAGCTCCTGGTTCCTGGCTTCAGGTCAGCTCAGCTCCAGCTGTTGAGACTATCTGGGAGTGAACCAGTGGGTGGAAGACCTCTCTCTCTCTCTCTCTCTCTCTGCCTCTGCCTCTGCCTCTGCCTCTAACTCTGCCTTTCAAATAAATAAATAAATCTTTTAAAAAAAAGAATAGGGACAGTGTCCACCAAATTTTAAGAAAAGAATGAAGGGTGGTCATTTGGTGCAGCAGGGTAGGTGCTGCTGGGACACCCACATTCCTTATTGGAGTGTCTGGGTTGAGTTCTGTAGCTTATATTCCTGCTTCCTGCTAATGCATACTCTGAGAGGCAACAGATGATGGCTCAAGTTGGATTCCTGTCATCCACGTGGGACACCTCCATTGAATTCTGGACTCCTTGGGGGACTCCCCACCTGTTGGGAGCATTTGAATAGTAAACCAATGGCTGGAAAGAGCTGTGTGTATGTGTGTGTGTGTGTGTGTGTGTGCACGCACGTGCGCCAGCCTTTCAAATAAAATGGAAATACCTATTTAAAAAACACCAAAAAACCAAAATATTCATTCAAAAAAACAAACAAGAAAAAGAATGAAATTCAGTACTTGACTAGCTGAACAAGTTATCATTCAAGTATAGGGACAACAAGCAGTCTTTCACACTTGAAAGAATTCAGGTACCATAGTACTTACAAGTTTTGCTTGAAAAATAAAATTAAAAATTCTAATAGTAGTCAAAAAAATAAATTTATTTATTTATTTATTTTAAAGGCAGAGCTACAGAGAGGTAGAGGCAGAGAGAGAGGTCTTCCATCCACTGGGTCACTCCCCAAATGGCTGCAATGGCTAGAGCTATGCCGATCCAAATCCAGGACCCAGGAGTCTCCACATGGGGGCAGGAGCCCAAGGACTTGGGCCATTCTCTACTGCTTTCCCAGGTCAAAGCAGAGAGCTGGATCACAAGTGGAGCAGCCGGGACTTGAACTGGCATCCACATGGGATGTTAGCACTGCAGGTACCTACTACGCCACGGTGCTGACCCCTCAATTTATTTTGAAAAGTAAGCGAATAATACCTAGATATATCAAAATGGGAAAAGGAAAAAGCTCAATTTGTAGGTTAAAATAAAATGAAAACCAAAATTGCAAGCTATAAAATACTATGATTAAAGAAGTATATGATTTGGGGGCCGGTGCTGTGGCATAGCAGGTAAAACCACTACCTGCAGTGCCAGAATCCCAAATGGGCACTGGTTCGTGTCCCGGCTGCTCCTCTTCTGATCCAGCTCTCTGCTATGACCTGGGAAAGCAGTGGAGGATGGCCAGAGTCCTTGGGCCCCTGCACCCACGTGGGAGATCCGGAGGTGGCTCCTGGCTCCTGGTTCGGATTGGCGCAGCTCTGGCCATTGCAGCCAATTTGGGAGTGGACCATCGAGTGGAAGACACCTCTCTCTCTCTCTATCTCTCTCTCTCTCTCTGCCTCTCCTCTCTCTGTGTAACTTTGACTCTCAAATAAATAAAATAAATATATTTTTTATTTTTTGAAATAAATCTTTATTTGAAATACATCTTTTTAATTTATTTGAAATGAATCTTTTTTTATTTATTTGGAAGTCAGAGTTACACAGAGAGAGGAGAGGCAGAAAGAGAGAGAGAGAAAGAGAGAGGGAGAGGGAGGAGAGGTCTTCCATCCGATGGTTCACTCCCCAGATGGCTGTAACAGATGGAGCTGTACCGATCTGAAGCCAGGAACCAGGAGCTTCTTCCGGGTCTCCTACGTGGGTGTGGGGGCCCAAGGACTGGGGCCATCTTCTACTGCTTTCCCAGGCCATAGCAGAGAGCTGGATAGGAGGTGGAACAGCCGGGTCTCGAACTGGCACCCATATGGGATGCGGGCACTTCAGGCCAGGGCATTAACCTGCTGCGCTATAGTGCTGGCCCGAAAAATAAATCTTTAAAAATAAAAAAAGATGTCTATGATTTGAACTAAAGCTGTATTCAGAGGAGTAGTCATTAGCATTAATAGCCATTAGCATTTAAATTGCCAAAGGATTGCATTGGTCAGAGTTTTGTATTGCTGACAATAAAATCTAGTTCATAGATCCTCCGAAAAATCCAGCAAACCAAGCCTGCTTCCTACAGAACCAGGAAAAGCACATCAGGGGAAGATGCTATAGAACTTTTTTTTTTTTTTTTTTTTTAGCAACACAAAATTGTTGTGACCACCACTTGATAAGCTCAAGACTACATGTCCAAAGTTCCACCACAGTCATACCTGAAAACACAGTTGTCCTTGTCTCAGGACCTTATTTTCTTGCACACTGACCACTTTGTATCCAGGCGAGTCTCACCTGGATCCGCATGGAAGACCCTGGGCCATTTGTGTGTATCCCAGCTACTGAGGCTCTAGGAATTTTGAGTCTTAGTTTTACAGCTAACAAAGGGAAGTGAACAATGTTAGGCTGGTTATAATGTGTCTTCAGTATTCCAACTTACAGAATCTGCTGCAGTTAGAAAATACTAAAAATACTAATAATAAAAAATAATAAAAGCAGGGGCCAGTGCTGTGGCACAGCATGTAAAGCCACCACCTATGCTACATGGGCATCCCAGATGGGCACCAGTTTGAAGTCCTGGCTGCTCCATTTCCAATCCAGCTCCCTGCTGATGGGCTTGGGAAAGCAGCAGGGGATGGCCCAAGTTCTTGGGCCCTGGCACCCATGTGGGAGACTGGGAAGGAGCTCCTGGCTGCTGGCTTTGACCTGGCCCAGCCCTGACCATGGTGGCCATTTGGGGAATGAAGCAGTGGATAGAAGACCTCTCTCTCCCCTGCATCTCCCAACTCTGCCTATCAAATAAATAAAATGAATGTTAAAAAAGAGAAAATAATAAAAACAAATGAATTTAGTATTCTATTTATAAAGTTAGAATTATAAAGTAAGTCTAGGGAAAGCAGAAGGGACAGAATAATAAAGCAAAAATTAATGCAATTTAATATAGAAATATATAAGATTACTAAAGAATAAAGCTTTTTTAAAAAAACTAATATAGAGAAAACAACAAATCTTGCATAAAATTAGAACAAAGGAGAAATTATGACAGATATGGAGAAAATTCATGTAGTTACTCTGAGAATGTTTTGTAAACCTTGATGTGAACAAATTCGAAAAATGTTTGAAGTAAGTGATTTTCTATAAAAATATCAGTTTCAAAACTGACTGCAGAAAAGTTGGGAAACTAAGTAGACCATATCTGTAGAAAAAACTGATTCTATGTAAATGTTTTCTTGAAAAATAGTATTGTAGAGAAAACTACAGAACAATTTACGTGTAATTTCTGATAGAAAAGTCCTAATTAAAATTTTCACAAATAGAATTCATCACAATAATTAGTGTTCATTCCATGGGTTATTTAATAGGAGCTATGCCTGTGAGTGAGAAATAGCCCTTGAGTTCATCATTCCGTTAATTTCATTTAAAATAGTGTCTGGACTGATGGGCTTTTGGCATCTTAGGGGATTTCAGCCTGGGGCTTCCTCTGTGTTCTTTTTTTTTTTTTTTTTTTTTTGACAGGCAGAGTGGACAGTGAGAGAGAGAGAGACAGAGAGAAAGGTCTTCCTTTTTGCCGTTGGTTCACCCTCCAATGGCCGCCGCGGCCGGCGCGCTGCGGCCGGCGCACCGCGCTGATCCGATGGCAGGAGCCAGGAGCCAGGTGCCTTTCCTGGTCTCCCATGGGGTGCAGGGCCCAAGCACCTGGGCCATCCTCCACTGCACTCCCTGGCCACAGCAGAGGGCTGGCCTGGAAGAGGGGCAACCGGGACAGAATCCGGAGCCCCGACCGGGACTAGAACCCGGTGTGCCGGCGCCGCTAGGCGGAGGATTAGCCTAGTGAGCCGCGGCGCCGGCCTTCCTCTGTGTTCTTTATGCTAATTATTAGTGTCTAAAATTTGAATTAGGCGTTTTTGTGAGATTGTTGTCTCTGTTCTCACTAGAGTGTAAGCTCCATGAGGGCAAAGAACATTGTTTTGCTCATCACTGTGTAAGATTTAGCACAGACTTCTACCTAATAGTTTTAGCACTTAACACACAGAATATACTCCATAAATATTTGTTGAATCAGCAGCATTAAGATACTTAGAGGGACAGCTGACAGTCAGCTAGGAGGTTTTGATTTGATCTCATGTTACCTGATTTGATTTTCCTTAGTCTGACTAAAGACATGACTGGAAAGGAAGATGTGTACCGGGGTCCAGCCATCAGGGCCCTCTGCAGGATCACTGACGTAAGTTCTCTGTTCGTGTCACTTATTTGAAGGAACACTGTTTGCCCGTGGCCATGGTTAGAAAGATCTTGTAGTCAGATTTTTTGAATCTTCAATATAAGAGAAACGTGACTACCAGAAAGGCTTTTGTGACTCCAGCTTTTTTTTTTTCCTTCAGATTGTTTTTTCCTTTATTTATATTATTCTGTTTTCCATTTTTGCCCCCTTGAGCCGTTGTGTTCAGAAAACCCTTTTGAAATGGATTAAAGAAAACACCCGAATTGTGGGACACAGATCTCTTGGAATTTGAGATATTCTTAGAGCTAGACAGGAGAGCAGGAAACAGGGCAGCTCTAAGGAACTCAGACAGTCACTGTGCTGATCCATCCTGTACCAGCCCTCAGCCCACTTGTTCAGATGAGCTGGTAGTGTGTGTCCAGCCGGCTCTGTGCCAGGTTGTTAACCTGGGCCTGGTCTGTTGTATCTGGAGGGACGAGACCACGAAGTATCAGACTGTGCTTGTCTAAGAACTCTGAATCGGAAAGGTTGAGATGAAGAGCAGGCCAGGTGTGGCCGAACAGTTTGAATAGTAACTAGATTTCAGGCCCGGCTATAGTTTACGTGTAGGTTTACAACCCTCAGGTTTTGAAGGGTGGTAGGATCAAGTTGTAAATCTGGATCCTAGAAGGAATAATAGAAGTGATGTAATCTTTTTTGCTCTCCTGTTTTGTTTTTGTTGTTTTTAGCATTAACTTGGCAGTGTAAAACTTAACCCTGCCAGTATTAGCCAAAGAACCTTTCTTTTTATCTGAATATCGATCATGGTTATTTACTCATCTTTATCTGCCGCTGCTTTCCCAGTGCTAAGCTTTTTCCCAGTTAAAGTTAAAAAGAGCTTTAGTTTCCAGAGGATCTCATGTTGAGGGTGCATTGTTGTAGCATGTTATCTGAAATAATCAGGGTTTGCATTATTAATTCATATGATTCTCTGGTTCCATACATAAACGTGGAGAGGTAGCTTCAGGGTTTCAAAAGTAGCCTCCATCCCTGTGCGGGAATTTCTTTGTAACGTCCCTGAGAGAGTCAGCCCTGCCCTGTGAATTTCCCTCAGACAGGTATTCTTCACCTAGACAGTGTACTTCACTGTTACATGGATTCTTCTTTAAGTTCAATGGTAAATGTTGTTTCTTGAAACTTCTGAGTGGTTGCCTGGTTCTGTCATCTGGGATATCATTACGGTATTATATGGTAATCTTTTTCATCTAAATGTCTGCATGAAACAAATATATGGCTGGTTTTTGTAAACGATGTTGAAGTAGTAATTTTTTATGAAAATGTTTTGCTTCAAGACCTTTTTCTTTTTGAATGTATTAGGGAACAATGTTGCAAGCCATTGAAAGATACATGAAGCAGGCCATTGTGGATAAAGTGTCCAGTGTATCCAGTTCAGCATTGGTGTCTTCCTTAGTAAGTGAGCAGTTAGCGTTCTCATTTTTATAGGTGGTACAGTTTCTAGTTGCAAAAAACAAAGTATCACTGTGGTTCTTTTATAAATGAAACACTTAACACACGCTTCTGTTTATCCAAGTGTATTCAATCTCTAGGAGCATTGAACAATTAAAATAGGCTGTTAAAAGCATGAACTTTTCATAGATTTAAAGGGTTTTGGGAATCTGAACGTTATATTTTACATAAATGAATGTGTGTGTGTGTGTGTGTGTGTGTGTGTGTGTGTGTGTGTGTGTCAGGGGGAGGGAGGGTGGGTAAGGGCCACAGGGGACGGGGACAAGCCAAGGGTCGTTCTGTTTTAAGATCTTTCTTGATGACTGCGCATGTGTCTGTCCTCTCTTTGCTCATGTCTTTGCCCTCAGCTTCCCTTGGTCCCCTAGGAACCTGTCTGTGTCTTTTAATCAAAGTCTCCTGTAGCACTTCTGGGTTTTTCTCCTGGGAAGCAGTCTTTGTTTTAGTAATAGGTTTTTCTGTTTTTCAACAAAACAAAATTTATTCAGTTAAAACTATTGGTTGTGTTTGATTAAAATCAGTTACCAATGTGGGACTGCATCAGGGTGTCTGAATCAGAGGAGATCCTGATTCCGGAATAGAACTGTTTGAGTTTTACAGCAGGGGGTATATGTAAGGGGACTTCAAAACATTTGTGGAAAAATGAAATGAAAAGTTTATTTTGGCACAAAAAAATTGAAATCCATGCATACTTGTACTCATGTTTGCAAAGTGGTACTGGGGAACGTGTTTCTGGTTTACCAGTTGCCCCAGGAATAGGACTTCATATAGACTACAAAGATACAAAATTTCCTTTCTTTTGGAATATTTCTGTTGATTTTCCAAGAAAGCTGACTCATGTTTCTCTTTATCTGTTGCCACTTCCCCCGTCCTGTGTTTATTAGCACATGATGAAGATAAGCTATGACGTGGTGAAGCGCTGGATCAATGAAGCCCAGGAAGCGGCATCAAGTGACAACATTATGGTCCAGGTACTGTCACCCTCATTCGCTTGTCTCAGGATCAGCTTTCTTTTAAGCCTGTGTTTTAGGGGCAGTGTGTGGGTTCCTCCAGATGAGCGTTATCTAGAGGCACATTCTTTGGCATGTGAGGTAGCCTAATTGTGCCTGTGGTCAGGTAGGTGTCTCACTACCCCTGTCAGGACTTTCGCTGGGGCCAGAGCTGTGGCTCAGGACCTAAGCCACCATGCATGTCACCAGCTTCCCATTTCGTAGCCTTTGTTCAAGTCCTCACTGCTCACATTTCTGATCCACCACCCTGCTACTGCACCTGGAGTAGCAGTAGAAGACGACCTAAGTACTGAGGCCCCTGCACCCACGTGGGAGACCTGGGTGGAGCCCCTGGCTCGTGGCGTTAGTCTGGCCCAGCCCCCAGCTGTTGTAGCCATTTGGGGAGTGAACCAGCAGATGGAAGATCTTTTCCTCTCCCTGTCTCTCCTTTTCTCTATGTCACTTGGCCTTTCAAATAAATAAATCTTTAGGAATAAATAAATAAATACAATCTTTGGGAAGAGAAGAAAGAGCTTAGAAGGAGCTAGATTACCCCTGTAGGGAGGGGATGTTCAGGACACATTCTTAGATGCAATAATAGATCAGAGGCTCATTCCCAAGCTCCTTCACATGGCATTACAGTCTTTTATTTGAAAAGTAAATTTTGTGTAGAAGGATGTTAATTCCAGGTTTATCAGGCCTTGATTGCAGACATACAAATAAAGAACAGGATTTGTTTTTGTGAAACTTTAAAACCATTTTGTCAAAAAGATATCTTTTTGATATTTATTAGGCTATTCCTTATTAAAATGAGCAAGATTAAATTTTTAACTGACAATTTTATGTACAGTACTCCATATGTATTCAAAAGTGCACTTACTTGCGCCCACTCAGTGTTGAAAACTTCTCGTGTCAGCATATTCAGTTATGTGGAAGCGAGCATACTGATTTTTACCTTGGGAAATGTTCACCACCTAATAACTGATCATTTTGTTCATGCAAAGCATCATGGCAATGGTACTTGTTTAGTCTACTTTAGAAGATTAATCATTGGGCCACTAACATGGCCACAGGTGATTGAAAGCCATTGAAAGAGACTGGAAAAAACTTGGTACTGAGAGCCCTTGTGCTAGGGATGTGTGGGCCGATGTTGCACCGGCCAGGGTCATCTTCAGGTTGTGTGTCAGCTTCTGTGTACTTGTTCTGTCTGAAAGTATAACTTCTGAAGTAAACTGGAAACACTTACCCTTTTTTTTATTTTTATTTTTATTTTTTTTATTTTTGACAGGCAGAGTGGACAGTGAGAGAGAGAGGCAGAGAGAAAGGTCTTCCTTTGCCGTTGGTTCACCCTCCAATGGCCGCCGCGGCCGCGCACCACGCTGATCCGATGGCAGGAGCCAGGTGCTTCTCCTGGTCTCCCATGGGGTGCAGGACCCAAGTACCTGGGCCATCCTCCACTGCACTCCCTGGCCACAGCAGAGAGCTGGCCTGGAAGAGGGGCAACCGGGACAGAATCCAGCGCCCCGACCGGGTCTAGAACCCGGTGTGCTGGCGCCGCTAGGCGGAGGATTAGCCTGGTAGCCACGGCGCCGGCCACTTATCCTTTTAGTCATGCTGGTGTTTAGTGTGAAAAAGAAATTTTGTTATTGTACATGTGATTTGGTATCTTTTTATTAAACAATCTTTTTTTAATTTAGCCATGTGATTTCTATTTTTCTGTTTTGTCTGTTTTCTAATCTGTGTGCTGCGTTCTTTTTCTTGTTCTGTAGTACCACGCGCTGGGAGTCCTGTATCACCTTAGAAAGAATGATCGTCTTGCTGTTTCCAAGATGCTGAATAAGTTTACTAAATCTGGGCTCAAGTCACAGTTTGCTTACTGCATGCTCATCCGAATTGCCAGTCGCTTACTTAAGGAGACCGAGGATGGGTGAGTGTTCCGCCCTAAACCTGAGTTATTTTCCACTTGCACGTTAATGCATCTCAGAGTTTACTTCTCTTAAGAATAGTTTCTGAGCAGTGCTGACTTTATAGATGAGTTTGATGTTTTCCAAACTTAAAAAAAGATTCCTAGTAACAGCATTTCTTTTACCTTAATGTGCATCCTCATATAGATGCTTAATAGATTATGGTTACTAATAATACATCAAATTGATATATATCGTAGTATGTACAAATCATTAAATATGAAGGCTGGATGGGACATGAAAAGTCATGTTGTTTATCCATTATTTTATAAACAAGAATGTTGAAATACTGCATTTAACGGTTTTCCCAAGATGGTCCTATATGTCTGAGGTACATGTGACCTTATCAAGTGTACTTCACCAGCCTTTGGAGAGCGGGGCAGGGGCAGAAACAGGAGAGGTTTTTGAGGTGTAGGAGGCTGGAGGTGAATCTAGGGAACAAAGACCCCCTTCCAGAGCCGACAAAGCTCATTGCTGAACTTGTACAGAGGTTTCTGTGTGACCTGGAAAGCTGAAGTGTAACTCATAGAATGATCTCTAGACTCTGCAGCTATTCAATACCAGAGCACTGCTGAGAGAGGAAGCCGTCTGTCCTTCACATCACTTATAAACAGTAGAGAGCTGAATCATTAAAGCTGCAGCAAAGTGCAAATCCAGATTAAGTAGGATCTGCTAACAGCAAATAAGGACCTGCACTTTCCTAGTGATTAGAGTTATGTGCATCAGTCTCTGCTTTATTACCAGTGTCTGGCAGACAACCAGGAAAGGTACATAAGCCAGGAGATGTGACCTATTAGCAAGAGAAAGAGAGCAGTCGGTGGACTCTCACTCTCAGACAATCCAGATATTTATAGGCAATGACTTTAAAATAATTGTTGTAAAGATACTAAAGGATATAGTGGACAAGATGGACGAAATGTGTAAGTGGATAAGAAATTTAGCAGTGAAATAGAAACTAGAAAAATACAGTTATTTTTACTTGAAAGACTTAAATGTCGGATGAACATAGCGGGAGATTAGAGAACTTGAAGATAAAACATTAGAAATTGCCCGAACTCAACAAATATGGAAAAAATTAAGTAAAAAAGGAATGGAAATCTGAAGCTTTTAGAAAATAAAAAAAATTCAACATATGTGATGAGTCTCAGAAGAAGAGAAAGAGAATGGAACAAATTTAATATTTGAAGAGATGATAGAATTCTAGAATTCATGAAAAGCATCAGCCAGAGATCCAAGAATATCAGTGAAACACAAGTTAGATAAATAAAAGAAATATCTTAATATATATCCTAAGTAAAAGGTTGAAAACAAAAAAGGAAAGAATAAGCAAAACCTTGAAAATAGTCGAAGGAAAAAATGTTACTTCATATTCAGGGAAGTGAAAACTAGAGTAACAATAACTTCTTATCAGAATGGATGCCAGAAGATAACAGATATCTTAAATTAGGTGAAATAAGCAGCCATCAACCTGGAGTTCATGCCCTGTAAAAATATCCTTCCAAATAAAGGAAAAAATGGAGAAATGTTCAACAGGAAAACAACTTGAAAGGATTTGTGTTGAGAATACCTGCATTATAGAAGATGCTAAACAAAGTATTTTGTGCCCCCACCCCCAAATATATAATAGGTAAATGCCTGGATCTTTGGGGAGGATTTAAGAGCAATAGAAAGGGTGAATATGGATCGAAAGGCCATGGTGGGGGAGCCAATGCTGTGGCACAGCGGGTTAAAGCCCTGGCCTGCAGTGCTGTCCTCCCATATGGACACTGGTTTGAGTCCTGGCTGTTCCATGTCTGACCAAGCTCCCTGCTAATGTGCCTGGGAAAGCAGCAGAGGATGGCCCAAAAATCTTTGGGCCCCTGTACCTACGTGGGAGACCCGGAAGAAACTCCTGGCTCCTGGCTTTGGATCAGCTCAGCTCCAGCCATTGTGGGCATTTGAGGAGTGAACCAGCAGATGAAAGGCCTCTCCCTCTCTCTGTCTCTATCTCTCTCTGTAACTGTGTTTCAAATAAATAAAATAAATGTTTTTAAAAAAAAGACCATGGGAAAATTTTAAATGCACAAAATTATGTCTAAAAATAAAAGTAGATTTGGGGGTTTATAATACATACAGAAATAGATTACAATAATATAAGAAGCTTGTGGGAGAGAATAGAATTAGACATTTGTAAGGTTTTTATGTTGTTCATGAAGGAGTATAGTACAGAGTGATAGGTTTAATGTTGTGATCTCTTAAGGATGAATATTGTAACCACTAAAAAAAAACTATGAGAGATAATTATTTTAAATGTCAACAGAGAAGATAAAATGGAATACCAAAAAAATATTCAGTTGAGTTTTCTGCTTCCAGTAATGATGATGTAGCTTGGTCAGATTAACTCTCCTATAAATAATGATTGTATCGTTAGTACAAAAACATGCCCACTCCCAACAAAGAAGATGTAGCACTCTCTGAAGGTAGTGGGAGGTGGTTGGTGATGGTAGGCAAAGGTGGCAGGAAGACGTGCCCGGAAGATGGCTACACTCTGTCAAACTTGTATTTTTCCAGTTCTTCTTCTTCTTTTTCTTTTAAGATTTATTTATTTACTTGAAAGATGGGGTGCGGGAGACAGACCAGACAGACAGACACACCTTTTATCCACTGGTTCACTCCCCGCCATGGCTGTGTCTAGGCCAGGCTGAAGCCAGGTGTCTGGTGGCGGGAGCCCGTATACTTATGTCGTCCTCCAGTGTCTTCCCAGGCACATTAGCAGGAAGCTGGATTGGAAGCAGAGCAGCCAGACCAGCACTCTGCTATGGGATGCCAGTGTTAGAAGCTGCAGCTTAACCTCTGTACCACAGAACCACCCCATGTGACTGTCCTTCTGAGAGCATTCTGTAATTCCTGGGTGTGAGAGGGCGGAAAGCTGCAGTTTTTACTGGACAGAGTGGTCAGAACGCACCTGGAGCTTGGAAGAATGACTCAACACTTAGGATAAAAACCCTAGAAAGGAAGGAGCCACAAAAGAAGTGAGTCCCAAAATTTTAAACTTTGTGGAAAATTATTGGCTGACCACTGAATCGTGCATTAGGGCTCCAGGAAAGCGAGCAGGAAGCAGGAGCTGCAGGCTGAAAGAGCTGATTGGGGCATTTGGCTGCCGCATCCTGGGGCTGGGGGATGTTGGGCTTGGAGCCCAGCTAGGCGGCCTGCTAAAGAAACGTGAGTTTTACAGTCTGCGGTCTTTCATTCACAATGCCTAATAGACAGTAAGAAATTACATGAAGTGTAAAGAACTTGACAGATGTGACCAGTTGTCAACGAGAAAAAATAATCATGACCCAGACATTGGAATGAGCAGAAAAAACATTGTTTTTTAAAAATCTTTTGATTTTGATTTTTACTTGAGAGGCAAAGAGACAGAAAGAGCTCCTGTTTGGTGTTTTGCTCCCCAGACGCATGCAATGGCTAGAGTCCACTCAGGCTGATGCTGGAAGCCAGGAGCCCAGTTGAGGTCTCCCCTGTGGGTGCAGGGACCTAACCACTTAAGCCGTCACCACTGCCTCTCTGCTCTGTATTAGCAGAGTGCTGGCATTGGGAGCTGGAACTCAACCCAGGTACCTAATGTGGGCGTCCTAATTGGCAGGTCAACATTAGGCCAAATGCCCTTTCCAACCAACAAAAACATTAAAACCTCTATTAGAAATCTGTCCAAGGCTTTAATGGAAAATAATTACCATAAGTGAACAGGGAAAATGGAAACCGTGAAAAAGAACCAAATAGATATCTTAGAGCTTGGAAATACTCAGAATTCAACCTGAGAAGGAGAACTCAGATGATGAAAATATATGAAGAGATTTGTTACAAGGAATTGGTGTGTGCAATATCTTTTTTAAAGAGTTGTTTTACTTCAAAGTCAGTTACAGAGAGAGGAGAGGCAGAGACAGAGGTCTTCCTTCCGTTGGTTCACTCCCCAATTGGCCGCAACGGCCATAGCTGGGCCAATCCAAAGCTACGACCCAGGAACTTCTTCCAGATCTTCCATGTGGGTGCAGGGACCCAAGCACTTGGGCCATCCTCCACTGCTTTCCCAGGCCATAGCTGAGAGCTGGATCAGAAGAGGAGCAGCCGGGACTCGAACTGGTGTCCATATGGGATGCCAGCACTGTAGGGGGCAGCGTTAGCCGCTACGCCACACCGCTAGCCCTGGTGTATGCATATTGAGACTGGTTAAGCTGGTCCAGAGTCCACAGGGTAGGCAGTCAGGAAGGGAAGGCGGGCACAGGCAGAACTACTGTCTGTGTGGGGGACTGCTCGTCTTACATCTTCCTGGATGCAGCAGGATGCTACTGGGGTGCACTTTCATCTTCACAGCCTCCTCAGGTAAGTATCCGAGCTCATTGTTAGTGAGATTTGCTCTCCACCCAAGTGTAGAACACAAATACGTAGCGCAGATCCCCCTCACTCCAGCTCACGGGAACTCATTCTTCACTGCTTTCCGAGCCCTCGCCGCAGCGTGTCCTGGAGGTCCAGGCTTTACAGGCAGTCTCTGAAGCCCCACCAGAAGTGTCCTTAAAGACCAGATTCTAGTAACAGCCTGTTCAGAGCAGTGTGGCTGAATCTGTCCTGTTCCTCAGGAGGCTTCCAGCTTCCACTACTACCTGATTCCAAAGGCAGTTCCACAGATTCATGCACTTCACCCACAGGTACCAACAGCTGGGTGTGTTTTTAATGCTGCCACAATACATTCTCAAAAATATGACAGCTTATAATAATGACCTTATCTCAGAGTACTCCAGGTTAGAATTTCACTGTTGGTCCTCTGGAACTAAAGTCAGGGTGTTGGTAGTGTGCCATTGCTCACTAGAACTTTGGGGAAGAATCTACGTCCCGTGTCATTTACATTGTTGGTCTGGTTCATCTGCTTGTAGTTGTAGGTTGCAGGCTTTTAGCCCCAGGTGGTCTGTGCCCATATAGGCCGACT